TCACATGTCCGATTGCTTTTGTAATCCTAGGATTATCTATTTCATTCCCATATATTTATGATCACAATAAAGGTTTACAACTAGATGGCTTGAATAAGAATGGATAGATTCAGTTAGATTTTTATGTAAAAATTAAAATGGTTAGAAATATCAACACTTTGATGCAATACACGGGTCAGCTACAGCCAAAGGACTGATGATACTAGTGCAAAACAATTCGTATAAAATAAAATAAAAAATAAGATGAAACTAAATAAAATCACAAATTTGAAGCCTGGAATGTGAAACTTCATTAATAATTGGTACAGTTGTACTTTTATCTTTGGGGAAGGGTTAGAATTCCAGCACAGCCTGCAAGCATTTCATGCACTAAACATACGCGAAACTGTCACCACTGTCATGGTAAAATTATTTTAAAGCACAGTCTATTTATTCTTAAAAAAACAATGATTGCCAGGCTGTTAACTGGCAATCATCTGTACTCTGTGTGGTCCATTTAAAAGTCAATTTTCATAAGAGGAATAGGAAAACTACTGTTACCTCACATGTTCCCTTCTCAGTATTTGGAAACTGTTTAATTAGCTGCCTATCTGTCATATGCAATCACCAAACAAGTTGGCCTTAATCAATAGTCATTACTCTATACTTGCCCTTGTTCTATGTGTGTGTGTGCGTTTGAATATGTGCATTCATGTGCGCGCTCGCCCGATTTCTGTTGCAGCTAAAACGACTTGGATGGACTTTTAATTATGTCTGCTCCTCAAAATTAATCAGGCTCGACGAGTCATCTCTGAGGTGAAGCCGAGTGAGCACAGGGGCAATGTTCACAATAATACAGAAGCCAAGCATGAATCATTGTTCAGAGCCACAGTTTCTACTGAAAGAGCTGCGATAATAATCATCATAAAAGTCTATCCTTTGGAAGGATGTGACACAGGAAGTACCACAATTGGACTATTTGTGAAATCTACAGCCTTCAATGAGATTTTGACAAAAAAAAATTGTATGTGGGTTTTTTAATTACACACTGATGGCAGCAGCCTAATTACTAACTATGAAGAACATATATCTTCTGTGGATACACGCTTGTGTACTGCATTGTCTTGGAACTTAACACACAACCACTTTTCATGGCTTGAGTTGTAGTAAATGGCTGTAAATTGCTGTTGTATGCAGCCATGTTGCTCTCAAGAACACGGTACTTTTTCTCCTCATGTACATTGATAATAAGTGGACAGATATGACTCCTACTTGAAAAGCCACCAGAAGTTGCGGCTGATTGCCTGTGGAAGGCGAAACAAACATGTAAAACGTCTAATCGGTGAGTATATGTTTGTGAAATTGATCTGAGATGCCTGCAGAGATAATTCCAGGATGTATACTTGAAGAACATTTCAAATCAAGTCCCATGCCTTGATAATTTACATATTTGCTCATTTTTATTTGTTCTTCCCACAGCATTTTTCTGGATTTGTGCTTGATCCCTTCAAAAAGCAGCAAGAAAAGTAAAGGGATGTGAGTCATTTCTAAGTCATCCTGATCCAATAACGCTGTTTCAATATCTAGAGTTGAAACCGATTCTCATCATGATAAACTAACAGTAAAATTGATAAATTAGACAACGTATCAAATAAGAGTATTAATGATAGCCAAGACTAAATAGCCACAGGTTTGAAAAATTGCTTTGGTTAATGTCTTCAGGGTGGGTCATAATTTGGAGTTAGGAGTCCTGTTTTCCTCTCGCATGCTACTGCAGCTCTCTTGTATTGTAGTGACATCTCAAAAGTGTTTACAAAATGTTGTCCTTTTATTCTCTACCCTTTGATTAATTAAAGAATAGAACGGTGCTTACACGTGTGCTGTGCCTTGGCTATAATATCATGGATGGCCAAGAGGCAGAGACTGGTGATGTAAGTGCTTATGCAACATTACTGGTCTCAAGTGTTCAAGTGAGGTAAGTATGGTTGATGTATTTGTTCTGCCTCCTAGGCTTGACCTGAGGCATAGGTATGTGGTTTTAATTGTCCTGAAAAAGAGCCTGTTAACAAGACTTGAAGAAATACTTGCTGATAATATAACATGGATAATACACTAAAGCATGGGGGAAACAAGTAACATGACTCTGACTGTATAAAATATTTAAAACACAGACACTTTTATATCAGTATCTGTTTAATCAGCATTCAGCTGTCCCTAAAATGTTGGATCCCGCCATCAGTCAAACACCATGCTGACTATTAGTTTTGCCAATTCATATCAAATAATTTCAGTCCAATTTTCTCTTCATCTAACTTTGGTTAGGCAGAAAATCCAGCTGGTTGTGTTGGACGTGTCCACAGATGTCTTAGTTTCACTGATTAATGTCAATAAACTTTTTGTGTTTCAGTACATACATGTTTTTAATAGTACTTTTTGGAAATTGTGGTTTAAGAGGAAGAGATATCTAAACCTTTATGTAGGATTATCAAAATAAATCCCTAGCGGTGTTAGTTTCAGACATCTGAATTCAGCTTTGTAAATTAACAAAATAATTTGGTGGTTCGAAACGCTTTTTCTTAGAGTGAATACGTGATATTCTCACAAGGCTGCATGACTGGACTCATTGACAAAGGATAAAAAGCATCCATGCAGGCTTTCAGCACAACAAAAAGCTTTTAGAATTTCCCAGTGCTTCATTTTCCTTTGACATACTATCTACTATTTTGTGAATTTTAAAGGGAAACGAGGGAAGGCTGGATTTTTCTATTATGTGTTTGTGTGAATTACCCTGCTATTGCGGTGTCATTTGTTTTCTACACCTTCATTATGCCCTTTTCTCTGATTTAGAGCCTTGTAACCAGTCAGTGGCGAGAAGGCGGGAGGAGAAACGCGGGGAGGGGGCGGGGCTCTGGGCTGGTTGGTTACGGGTTTTCAGCACCGCGGACAGCTCCCGTCACTTCTGCACAGTCTGCAAGGAAAGCTACGCGCAAACACAACTGGATCTTATTAAAAAACCGACTCCCATCGATGTATAGATTGACCCCGGGTTCAGACCTCGAACGCATGTCACCGCCTTCATCCATCCTTCCACTCGATGCTTGACTTGATTCGTTTTGTGGCCTGACTGAGGAGTCCAACCTCCTTCAACTGCATTGCCTCTGCGTCTGCTGGCTGTTGGCTCCTCATTTTGCTCTGGAAACTGACACACCACAGTGTAGTGAAAGTGCCTCTTTCTGAGGGTGGGAGGAAAAAGTGGATTGACCTACTAAAGTTTCTTTTTTTTTTCTTTTTCAATCTGTCTGATTAAACGTCGCTCTTCCAATCCCCCTTACTATGTTAAGGGTTGGGATTTTTACCCAAGATCGGGAGTGGATGTTACTATAGGATGCGGGCGGAAGATGAAGTTGAGTAGTTTCCGTAGCCGTTGGTGCATGATCTGATATGAGAGAGGCGACCTGCATCTGCAACATTGACTGAAATCCTCAAAGCGGAGAGGATCGGACGCATTTAGTTCATGGGGGACACCAACCACAACTCAGGATGAGGTGCCTCTTTGACTTTTTAAATTGCACCTAAGAGAAAAGAGGGGTCTGTTTGTTTGTTTTTTTTCCTCAACCCTGCTACTGTAACAGGAAGCGACGCTTCCTTCTTTTTATAGTCGCCTAAACGAGTTGGGATCTTGCACGCGATTGGATACTGCAACAGAGAAAGCAGACTCCCTTGTAACCAAACGCCACAAACAGAACAGTAGAAATAATGAAGAAGTTTCGGAAGGTGTTGGATGGCTTGACCACCTCCTCTCCCGGGGTGACTATAGGATCCCCGTCGTGCGGCAGCGCTGCTGGGACTCCCACCGCGGCGCCAACTCCCAAGGAAATCGACATCCAGGAGACTCTACTATCGGAAAACTTTCAGCTTTGTAAGGTGGGTAATCAGAGGAATGTATCTATAGGCGAAGGTCTGCAACAATGGGCAATAGGCTGGTGTCCACAAACTGTGACAGCACACACATCCTTGACTGTTGTTTTTGTATGTTCTTCTTTATTTACACTCTTCATAGAGAGAAAGATGTTTGCATGTGCTTATTCGACATTACTGACATGAACCTTAGGCTGTAAAAGTTTAATCAGCTCCACTGCTAATGGTGTTGGAAGTTCAGCACCCGTGCATAGCACTTCCACTCCAGTTCTCCTAAAGAGACCAGACGAGATTTTGTTTCCTATTAGCCAAAGTACTGTTTTCCGTATCATTTATCTTTACATTCTTTCATTTATGATGATGATTTCACTTGTTCCAATCGTCCCCTGCTACGTACAGCTTTGCTACTGGCAAAAAAAAACCCCGCGCGTAAAGCTCGTGGAGCTGATAAAAGTGCGAGAGCTCGCGTCCAGTTTTTGCTCCTCTCCAGCTCCCATCAGTATGTGCAGCGCTGCCTCTCGTGTTCCAACCCCAGCATGATGTGTAAATGCAGAGGCTTCACGCACATGTGCTGCAAACAGTGTGCAGAGGAAGTTAATGGAAAGACGCGTGCCCGTTGCATCAGCGAGCTGGGGAAGAATGGTGAAGCGATGACATAACTGCTGTCCCTCCCTTGCATTGAGAAAAAAAAGGAGGAAAAAAAAAGAATGCATATCAAGCCAGCGGAGAGGCCCTGCAGTGCTGTCCTAGCTGATGCGCTTTTCCCTCGGAAGGAGGGAGAGAATGAGGGAGGGGTGCTAAATGGAGGGGAGGGGGTATTTATAGCTGTTACTGTCGCCCGTTGCAGCCCCATTTCTAAATGCATTTTGCTGCGTGTATTCTTTACCCTAAAAGAAATGGGGTAAATTGTGAATGTGGCTGTGAATAATTAATTGAGCAGTAGATAGAAGGGAGGACGGGCAGTAGAGAGAGAGAGAGAGAGGGGGGGGGGGGGGGGGGGGGGGGTTGCAGAGCTGTATTATTACTGGGCAAAGTAAGACTGTTAGGGGAGGGAGTGGGATGGAGGAGACTGAGCAGGAGGGTTGATTCACAAGCTGAGGAGGATGCTGCAGAGCACCCTATGGCAAGAATCAGAAATTGCTTGTAAAGAAACAGCCTGGTTGCCTGGTCCCATGCAGGAGGCTGCTCCTCCCCAGTTAGTGGCTTTTTGCCGGCCTGGTTTGATGGAACTTCCCGTGTGAAAGCAGTAAATGCAAAAAAATGTCCTCCGATCTATCACATTTCTGCTGTGTTTTTGTGTCAGTGTCAGCAGGTACAGGTTGAACATAAGTATTTATCTGTTTGTGTATGTGTGTGTGTTTCAAAGGGTGTGAGACAGCCCCAGAGAAAGGTGGAAGAAAAGCTGCAACACTTACATCAGCCAATTCTATCCTGTATTTTCTACCTGATGTATCCATATGTATATTTTGCATTTAGGATGAGGATTTCCGCCCTCAGTGTATTAGAAAGATAGAAATAAAAGAGGTCAGCCTTGATTTTGCTTTTGTCACCATCTAATGAGGATTCTGCTTCCACATGTCATGCCGGCAGGATGTTATGTCAATGTGCACACACAGATGTTCAAACAGTAAAATAATTACTCTCTTATATGAGCATGTTAAGTTTCCATTTACACTGACTATGCATTGTATGAACATTCATTTTTTATAAAACCTAGGTGTATTAGTGTTCATTTTTTTTGCATAGAGTGAATATTTGACATACGGATTATGCTCATCTAAAACTGACAGCGTTAGGAATTTTCACAGAAGATATTTTGCCCCTAATATTTTTAGATATGATCTTCACTTTGTGAGGGGAACAGAACTGCCGACTGGTGCAAAATGTGTGGGAGTGTTTGGCCAACCTTTCCAACTTAGTCTTGACTTTTGTCCTCAGTGTTTAATGTGGTAAGATGTAACAACTAAAATGCCTTTATATATTTAAATAATTAACTGGCAAGAGAGAGTGTATCTGTTTTTGTGCAGTTATAATAGGTAAATAGATGGGACATGCTGAGATTAGCTCCTGGTAAAATCATACAGAGACTAAAAGAGCAATAACAGGTAACATGAGACAGTGGGGAAGAGTTTCATTAATTCTATAGATTGATTCTTGTTAGGAGACTAAATGAGTTTCTTTTGTGGTGGGCAATGGAAGCAAAGAGGAAGACTAAATGGCATTGTAATGAGGGGAAACTTGATTAAATGGACTGTATAGTATTTACAATATAAGAATAATAGAATGAAATAAAATCCAACCACTCCTCCGTTCATGCTAACTTGATTTCTTGTTATTGCAGCAGTTTTAAGAAATAATTAATTTAAATGTATTTGTGAATCGAAGAAAATCTGACAGTACGTTCAGTGATCGTTGACAGCATCCAAAACCTCAAAATTTGTTTCAACCAGTGATAACTTTTACCTGTCAAAGCTGCGATACAACAGAAAGAACTGTTTTCCTCTGGCTACACACATTTTTTCTGATTTTACGGGGTTTAGGGTGTCCACCTACCCTAAAACAGTCAGTGGACACAAACATGTGAACAAGTGTGTAGTTTCAAATATTGTAAAAACAAACAAACCAAAAAACAAATAGCCAACAATCTGGGTTAAAAATGGAAAGATATCAAACACTTTGAAATTGAGTCACAGGAATAACTTCTCCAGGAAAGTGTTATTTACAGACATTTATGCAACCCCCAAGCCTCAGCAAGTGGTACAGTGCAAACAAGTCCACATTGGGGTTTGACTGCATGGGGAAAGCGGAGCCAGATCAGAATAACTAAACTGTAGGAAGAATGATCCTCGGCACAAAGAAATCTTTCTCTGTGGTGCCCCATGCTGATTCGACAGAATCAGGATTTGATGTAACCAGCTTGAATTTTGAACCCCTTCTGCTTTGTGTGCGTTTTACAAGCTGATCCTGCTACTATTGTAACAGAGAGAAACCATTTTTATCCACTTTTTTATCCACATTTTTGTAACCATTTTTTATCCACTTCGACTGGTGACCGAAATATCAGTTCAACGCATGCTTTTTGCAGTGAACACTGCTACTCAACAGGAGAATGTCCCCTGTTGGATGGGTCAGTCCCGCTCTATCATCATGTTTAACTCAGGTGTCCTTAACCTGCACAACCTCTATAAATCAGCTTAAAGAAGAGTGCTTGAAAAAGAAAAAGTACACGAAGCACAAAGCTGATATTGTTTTCATTGTTCAGAAAGCTGCTGAGATTTCATTAAAATTATATTCGCTAAATACAATGTGGCCCTCATAGTCAATTACAACCACCCACGGAAGAGTTTCAGTAGCTCATTGTAAAATTTCAACCCCTTTATGTGAAAGTAGAAGCTTTTTGCCATAATTTGGATTGGCAGGGTTTGTTAATGATTTCTATTTACATTTGGTGAAGAGTTTTGCTAAAATTACTTGATTCATATTGCATGCGTCACTTCCATTTTAGCCCGTCGCCTCTCTAAAGTGGAAGACTACATGTGGAATTCTAATTAATCTAAAGTGATGGTTTCCTTATTCATATCACCATGGAGAATATGACTTTGAGCCAATCCATTGGGATGTTTGAATGTACTTTTAATCACATCTGTGGGTGCACTGGAATGAGAAGTGAAAGCAGTTCTCACAGGTCACGCACACATAAATGTGCAACATCATCTTTTTGTGTATTTTGTGTTAGATATTTTCTATGTTGAATTTGATATAACACAAGAAAAGAGGATATAGATAGCTTAAATTATTTAAGAAGTCATGTGTAATTATTTAAAGTATTGTGGTAACTTTACTAAAGGTTTCATTGTTTAACTTCACAATCACAGCCTGGGTTTTTTTATTAAAACATTCGACATCTCTACATGTACTTTGGACAGCTTTTTGGAAGATTACAAAAACGTATTTTAATTCAGACAAGTATTGTAGAAGATTGGTTTGCCATGTCATTCCTGAACAAGCCTGGGGTAGCTCACCACTGGGCATGCATGTACTTGTGTACACAGGAGGCTAAGTGTAATTTACAACAGGCACATAATCTGGGTGTGAAAATCGGAGAACACATGTAGGGACCGATATGCCCAATCAGGAAGCAAATGAGGGGGTTGTTGAATGAAGTGAACCATTTAGGAAGTGATTGGGCTGCAGGATATGGTTGGGGTGGATGGCAGGTGTGTTAAGAGCCTGACTCACATTTATAAAACGGTCTGTGATTGGACTTTGGCACCTAAAGCAAAGTTCCAGAAGGGAAGGATTAAATCTACTTCAGAATTAGAAGGCACTACAGATTCATTTTCCCTTTACAATATCCGGATATTTCCTGGATCCTTTAGAGTCTAAATAAAAAAGTTGTTAAATGTTGTCATCTCAGCTACTGGATATTAACTCAAAGGCTGTGTCTTTGCTATTTTCCAGGAAACTATTTTAGGCAGGTAAATGGGTCCTAATGCAAACTCCTGATGTTAAGCATAGAGATGCAGTAATGTAAAAATGCAACTGTTCTTCTTTGGCTCTTTAAGAGACAATTCCCACTCTTGTTATTTTGATATTGATTTCTATAAAGTGAAGTTATTTCTTTTTACACAAAGCATTAATGGTGTGCCGGAGTAATTCGACATTTTTTTTTTAATCTGACATTTATTTACAGCTGCTCTATAAACAGCTATATAACTTTTATACTGCGTGCATCCTTTTAAAACACAAGTTTTAAAAGGATTGCTGTGACGGTTTTCGTCATTTTATATACTGGAGCCATTTGATTTTGGCGATCCCCAGACATTTATTTTCACCCTATTTTAGAATTCATGAAATAGATTGGCACCAGATATGAAGACGGTAACCTACGAATCCATTTTAATTGATTCTCTAACCCTTAAAGTTCAACTCTATTCAACTTTATCACCACTGTGAGGTTTCTGAGTAAAATTCAACTCAATTTCTTGTGTTTTGAGACTTTAGACCTGACCAAGAACATTAATTCTAACGCATACAATATACATTTAACAAATGACCATAACTAAGGGTCCAATGGTATATTAAAGGTTCATAATTAGGGCTTTCCACAATCACTGCCATTGCTGGTGCCGTGCAATATGAATAAACCATTGAGGAAAGCGATCTCGATAATGAATCAGTGGGCGTTTAGCAGAAGAGGGCATTATTGTTTCAACTCCTGTTCATTGTACTCGCGTTCAAAGTTCAGAGGTTGAGCTTGCCTATGTCTCTTTCCTCCGTTGCATGTTACATTGTCTTGTAAAGACGGCTTCAATGCGCTCCCTCCCCAACGACCTCACAAGCTCTCCATGAGTGCGATGACTCAGGGGGTTGGCTTCCAGCTAGTCTCACATTACCATGTGTCGGCTGCCTGTCAGAAGCCACAGCGCGGGATCAATTAAGGAGGAGTTGATGTCAGGCTCGGATGGGAGTATGGGGAAAAAGCGATACGTGGGAGGGATATTCTGAAAACTGTGTAAAAGTAAAGCATAAGATTTGCATTGTCGTTACCAGCATGCATCCCAATGCACCACTTCAACAGAATTGCAGATAGTTTGAAACGGCTAACGTGAGCAGTTTGCATTGCATGAGATTTGTGAAAGATTTGAATGAAACAGTGAACTAATTTGGCATACTCTGCATGTTGTTTGTGTGACATCATGAGAGCTACTAATACACAGCCGTCACGTGATTTTGTGTGGGCTTTCAAAATGCTCTGTACCTTTAGTGTTAGCAGGCCCCCTGCAGCACCTCATCTTCAGTAAATATAAACAAGTGAGCTTTCCAAACAGACCTTTTTTTTCACTTTTGTGTTCCATAACTGTGGTATGGTGTGGAATGAAACTGTATCTTTGTTGTGTTCTTCACGTGCTCCACCTCCTATTGAAGAATCTATTATTGCTGCGTGTCTGCGTTTAACAAGGAGAACCGACAAACTAAGCTTTCTTGTGAATGTGTGACTTGGGTAGATAACTGAAAATGCATCTTTCTTATTGACCAGGAACCCTACCTATTTTGAAAGGCCCCACTCTCCAGATTTACTAGGTCGCGTTTGTTTTTCCTCCTTGACTACAAAGTCAGCTGTGAAGAATAGGAAGATGGTGGATGCAACTCATTATGACCTAGAATCCCATGTCAGTTTCGACAGCAGATGAAAGACTGCTGTTTTCAGTGCTTGACAACAGTTAAAATGCAATTTCCTTCCATGTGCAACTGTTCTCTCTTCCTTTAAATCCAAGTGTTTTGGTGCTTATTATAGATAAACGTTTATCTGCTCTTTCTGTGGACTGACAGACCTGATATTCTAATGCAGGACAGTTGAGATTACATCAAAATAGAAAAAAATACAACCACAGTTGAGCTTTATCAAACATTAAGTTCCGTCTTTTAGTGCGTGTTGGATTGCCCTGCAGCACACTGACTGATTAGCCAGTAGTCCTGATGAAAATGAAAACAATCTCCACTATCATCCAGTCACTACCAGGTGCCCTCAGATGTTATTAGATCAATAAGAAACTGGATTTAGAGCATTTAGAGGACCTGGGAAACCCTTTTAATTCCCCCTTGCACTTTTTCTTGCATTGTCACACTCAGAACAATAATCATCTTCTACTTGTGTCTTATGTTAGTAATGTAGCAGTATAAGCGTTTGTGTTCTTCCTGCTTTGTTTCTATGGCTACGTCAGTGCTCAAGTAAACAGAGATGATAGAAGCCATCTTAAACCCACTATGACCTAGAATCTTATGTCAGGATTGATAGATTGTGAAAGCCTCACTGCATTCAGTGGTCCATTTTTGTTATGCGTTTTTACTGCCAATAGATCCAACCATCCATTTTCCAAACCTTCTTAATCCTATTCATGGTTGCGGTGGGGGGGCTGAGGCTTATCATCGCTGCTCTGGGCGAGACGTGGGTACACCCTGAACCGTTTGCCAGTTTGTTGCAGCTGAATTCTCCAAAATGGATAAAAACAAAGCAATTCCATACCAAGAGAAGCACAGTTTTGAAAAATTAAAAAGTGCATTCATACAACAGCACCTAGTAGCTTCAATCAGTTAAGATTATTTGGCATTTGTCTGTAAAGATACCAAAGAACTACAAGCTAAACTCTGAAATGCAAGCTTGTATAGCTTCCATAGAAGTGTTAAATGTACAACAGAATATTACTGTCAGTTATCAGAAAGCCACATGGTGCATATAAGTATTGTTGAGGTCATGGCAAATGCACTTGGATCCACACTTACGCAGCTAAGGTTAAAGCAGAAAGTGAGGTTAAAACACATGCACAGTACAACTTCACATGGATGCTTTCTGCCCCAACTGGATGCATGAAAGCAGGACAAAAAGCCACATCCCATGCACACATATTGCTTTGTGATTGTGTAAAATAAATAATGCATTTGTGGCTGTCATGCCCACACTCTCATGTGAAGTGAGATGTGCTTAGCATTAAGGGGTCAAAAGCGAAAGGATGATGTTAAGCGCTGCCATATAAAAGCCATGAGTAACAGAATAGTATTTCCTTGTGAATGAGTGAGTGAACATCTTGATCATTTGTTTGTATTATACTTTGATAGAAAAAAAGGTGCATATCTTTATAAGGAGACACATTATCTGAACTGTCTCTAGTGTCTTAGGTAACAAATTAAGCAACAAGACTAAACAGCGACTTTACAGAATGTGTAACAGTAACTTTAATGATGAGGCAGGATAAAACATATATGCCTCTGCCCTTCACGGGGCCCAGAGTGTACAAAAAATCAGTGTCTCAAAAAGAATCTAATAAAACTGAACACTGCTGCTTACATGCCGCATTTGAACTTAAGATCAGACGAGTGTTTGCAAAGGAAGGCCGAGAATAACAGACAGACACGGAAAGATTTCCCTTGAATAATAAAGTAAATCTCAAATAAAATGCTTTAGTACGATTCAAGTAAGCCCAATGTAGAGATCAAAAGTTAGTTTCAGATTTTTTTTTCTCACGGCAGTGCCCTTAACAGGCTTTTGCTTTCTTGTGGGTAAAGCATTTCCAAGGCTACATTATTTTTAACTCAAGAAGACACAGAGCTGCGGTGGCGAGTGAAAAAGAAACAAGCAACGGCACGATGGCAATTTCTTTTACACGTTTTGCCATTTTACACAGTTACAGCAAACATAATCATGTTTGTCGTCACATCATACAGAACAATGAAATACATCTTCAAATTCAAATCCTGCTGCGTGAGCTATTGTGCAACAAGTAAAATGTTTCATACTTTACATGTGAACAGGAAAATGTTATGTTCGTCCATCAGAAACTAATAACTTTGGTTTTAAAGATGCAGTTTTTAATTGCTGAAATCCTAAATCCAACATGGAGATGAATGTTTGTGATGTTAATGGGGTTAATGTAGCCAATGTATGGAAATGACCCTCCAGTGTTTATGTGTCAGCCTTACTGGTGCTGCGTTTTAGTGTAAAAGTACGTGATGTTCTTACCAGAGCACACCACCTCTCTGCTGCTGCATGCCTCACTTTTTCTTATCGAATACCTTGTGTTGTTAAGAGATTCAGTAGCTGTGAACATCCTTGTGCATCTTTAGTGAAGAGGGTGTCCAATAATTTCCTACAACGAATAGGGTCATGGGTTTAAGAGCATGATTGGTCCATAATAGCAAGTTCTCCAAATAAAACAATCACATACTGTTCGGAGATAATGAAATGGAAATTCTGAAATTAGAAAATTCTGATAAGGTTTTACTAGTTCTTTTGTTTTATTTTTGACAGTACCCAGAATAGTTTTGGGATTGACCCAAAAAATATGTGGTACAAAAAAAAGAGATTAATGTAAAAAAAAAAAGTCCTGAAGCAGTTTGATTCAAAAGTGAATGAAAAAAAATCACGAAGAAAAGTGCAAATAGCTTGCAAATGTCTCTGTTTTCGGTGGCCTACATGTGACTGTATTCCTCTTCATGTTGTCTGATCTACAGCTTTCATACAAATGAGCTTTCTACAGTCAGTAGAGGTGGAATCCTACCCAAGCTTATTCATTTGTTTCTGTCTTCTCGAAGTGCATCTTTACCATTTTCACTTTAGTGGCCTGCTCTTTGTGTCTGTCTGTGTATGTGTGTGTGTGTAGGTGTGTGTGTCTGTGTTTGTGTGTGTGCTTGTACATTCATGTACCACGCAGCACAGAAGAGGTGCTGATTAGATCAGCCTCAGTCTTGGTGATGAATGAAAGTTCCCTTTATCATTTCACTTTCAGGATGATGTGGGATCACACTCTGAAAGTCTTGAATTGCTTTATTCATAGCAAAAGACAGTGCGACTAAGGATAGTGTTTAATATCGAGAGCCCCTCATGCGTGCTTTCTACACCATGAATTAGAAGTGGAGGTTTAACGCTCAGTCCGGAGACTGAGCAATCATTTCCAGTAATTTAAATCACCCACAGATGACAAAATTCAGTTTTTCTTTGAAACTCATGGTGAATAAATGTGTTATTTTAGCTGGCATTCCCACAGACATAAGTACTGCTGTAAAACTGCAGTCCATGTGTTGTTGTTTTTTTTTAACTCTCAAGCATTTTAAATCAAAAGGGCAATCAATGGGATGCAAAAGTCCAATTTGAGGCTTTTTTAACAGAAGTTCTGGAGTTTAACTTTAGTCTTTTTGAACATCCACAAGCTTGTTATACGTCCATCTATCCATTTTCAGTATCTGCGAATACTAAGCAGTTTGCCAGCTGAGCAAGAGGTGGAGTGCACCCTGCATAGGTCTATCACAGGACCACAAAGAGATTAACAGGACACACAACAATGCACTCACACACTCTCTGCTACCGTTGATTTAGAACTTAGAGAACACACAAATACACAGGGAGAAGACGGAAACTCTTTATGTGGGAGGCCAAACCAGAAACCCTCCTGTGTTAACGACCACACTGCCGAGTAAATGCATTTATATTATTATGTAAAAGTGTAAATACACATTAATTATTTGCCAGAAAATAAAAAATAAGACTGCAGCTTACATGAAATGAAAAGGATCAAGCCAGGTTTTGTATTCGCCGTGTTTTTCAACTCTTATTTCTCACATTCGTACATCCTTGATCATCTGTTCTGCTCCTCCTCCCAGACGTCTTCTCCCCATTCACGTTCTGTTATGCCTCCTCCTTATTCTGGGCAGCTCCCAACAAGATCAAAAGAATTTTAGAGCAACCTCAAAATATCTCCCCTCAATATCTCCCCCTCAAAACTCTGGTGGGAAAAAAAGTCACATGTATCTGTCTGTTTGATGGGTTCTCTTTTCTCAGTAAAGTCAAATCAATTTCGATGGTAGTTGTGACAGGAATAGGCGGCGCTGCCTGTGTCTGCAATGCTGTCTGTTATCCTCACATTTAGCCCGAGGGGACAGGTGCGGAAACACCTGGGTGATGCACACAAACAGTTTGTATGTACAAAGGCAGCATG